GCTCTCGGAGATCCTCCAGACCATCCACCCGGCCGAAGGGAGCCCCTCATCGAAGCGGCCGCGGCAGACCGACGGAGCGCCCGAAGCCGAGCCCGCGCGCTGCCGCATCGTCGACATGGCCTCCACGCCGCTGCAGCCGCCGCCCTCGTCCGCCGCAGAGCCGGGAGAGGAGGGGGAGGGGGGGGGAGTCGACCGCGGCCGGTGAGCGATGAGCATGAGCTCAATCATGCCCCTTACCCACGCACCTGACGCGCTGCTCAGCGCGCGGCGCGAGTACGTTCCCAACGTACGCTTTCGCTATCGCGGTCTAGCTAGTCGCGAGCCTGGGGACTGGGGAGCTCGGGCCTTCCCTCGTCTCACACGCCTCACTGTGACCTCCCACCCTCCGGAGTGCGCGCGGGGTTGTGCTTTCGCGCCCTGAGTACAATACGATTTAAACCCACAAAATCAAATGCGAGTAACGACTCGCAGAGCGCAAAAACTGAAAACAGAGGTGAGAGGAGAACCGGGGAGAACGCTCACACCCCACTGGCACCGTGGCACTGTACAGTGTGCAGACCGACATACAGCACGCACAATGTAGCACTTACTTTTAAGCGCGCGCATCCACCGCGCTCGCCCTCCACGGCCGTTGAGCGGCGCAACGCACATGCCCCCCTCGGCGGCTCGGCACATGCCCCCCTTGGCGGCTCGGCGAGGTCGGCCGGCGCGCGAGCACAACCCCAAGACGATGCCGTGAAGCGGGTTGCTGCGCGACCGAGCCGCCGATGCGCCGTCGGGGCGAAGGCGGCGGCGACGGCGGCAGCGGGCCGGGCAGCGGCGGTGGCGGTGGCGGTGGTAACGGCGGCGGCGTCGAGGGCGGCGGCAGCGAGGGCGGCGGCGGCGACGGCGGAGGCGGGCTCGGTGGGGGCGGCGACGGTGGAGGCGGCGAGGGAGGCGGCGGGGGCTCGGAGGCGGCGGCGAGGGCTGCGGCGGCGAGGGCTGCGGCGGCGAGGGCTGCGGCGGCGAGGGCTGCGGCGGCGGCGAGGGGGGAGGCGGCGACGGCGGCGGCGGGCTGGGCGGCGGCGGGCTGGGCGGCGGCGGCGACGGCAGCGGCGGGCTCGGTGGGGGCGGTGACGGCGGCGGCGGTGAGGGCGGCGGCGGCGACGGTGGCGGCGGCGGCGGCGGCGGTCTGAGGCTTCGGCTGGGACACCCCTGCCTCTTGCAGGGGGACGAGCACGAGTTTGACTGGGGGGCGCGGTGGGGCGCCACCCCGGCGCGCCACACACGTGCGCGCGTGGCGTCTTCGTTGACAGCAGGGCGGTGAGCGTGCAGCAGCAGCGGCACACAGAGCGTCGCACCGCCACCCACAGAGCGACGCACCGCCACCACAGATTCAGGTCGAAGACTGCTACGCTGTCGAGCGGTGCGGCCGGCTGTCCCGCCCCTTCCTCGGCCGCTGCTACTACACGGCGCTGCAGCTCGGCCTCGCGCGGCCCGCCGGCATACTTTCCTCGTTACCCCGTCCGCCGATCCACTCGGCCGCGCGCCCCTCTGCCACGACGCGATCCCGCCGTGGGCGGCCCTCGCCGCGGTCGCAACGACCGCCGGGCGGGCGACGCTGCGGACGGCGTCTTCGGCTCACGCGCGTGCCGTTTCGAACAGGTGGCCGTCGCGTGGGTGGGCGGCTGCGTCGGGAGTTGGCTCTGCTGCCGCCGGCTCGCGGGCCCGCCGGCGGAGAAGCCGGCAGCGGCGCGCAGTCGGCGGGGAGGGCGGTCGGGGTACGCGCCGGTGGAGGCGAGGGAGGCGAGCCCGGACCCGCTTGCGGGAGTCGGCCATGTAGGGCGATCGATGTGGTTTTTTTTTTGACCACAACAAAGCTTTGGTTTTTCAAAGCAAGGAGCACGCAACACTCTTGGGGACAAACAGAGCGGCTCGAATGTGCAGTTACTCGAGTCTCTACGGCCGCTATACGCCCCCGACCCCTCACGCGCGCCTCGCACATGGCCTCACACAACACACCGACGACGGTCTATACCTGTACCATACGACCTCGAGGAACACTCGTACACACAAATGTTACCCCTCGAGCGCCCCGATCGCCTCCGTCACCTCGGCAACTAGCCGCGACGCCTCCCCTTCGCTGCGCGGCCCGTCCCTCCTCCACCTCGCCGCGTCGTGGTGCCTTGCCGCGTTCGCCCAGATGCGCAGCGAGTGCAGCTGGCTCCGCAGCTCGGTCGGCAGGCCGCACTCGCGGTGCCAATAGTTGATGCGCTCCTCGAAGCCGTCGGGCGCCGCCGCAGAGCGCGAGGCGTAGACGGCGTCGAGGCGCGGCATCAGCGTCTTGAAGGCGAGCATCATGTTGTCCTGGATGCGCGCCTGCGCGTCGCCGCCCGTGCGCATGCCGCGCACCTGCACCGAGAGCGGCGAAGGCTCGTACCCGGTGGTGCGGGCGGCTGTCGCAGCGGCCTCGTCTCCAAAGGCCGGCGCAGCTTCTTCCACCCCCGCCCCGCCCCGCGCGCCAGACAGCAGCGCCCGGAGCGTCAGCAGCGCCTCGGGCAGTGTGGGCCGCTTGCGCAAGCTATGGTGGCAGAGGCTCTTCTGCCCGTCCCCCGCCTGCGCGAGGTCCTTTACTGCGCGCGCCGCGTCGACTGGCCAGCCCGCAGCCACATCGGCGAGCTTCACTGCGTCGATGTCGGTCCAGTCCTCCTCGAACTCGTCCTCGCACCGGTCGGTGAGCTGCACCTCGGAGCGGCTGGTGAGGCAGACGAGGAGGGTGATGCCGATGGCGTAGCCGTCCGTCTTGCTCGAGTACTCGCCGCCCTTGGTGATGGAGGGGCAGAGGTAGCCCGTGGACATGTAGAGGGCAGTCGAGCGGCAGCGAACAGACGCGTCCGGCCGCTGGTCCTTGGCGAAGCCCGTGTCGGCGAGGACGGCGGTCAGCTTCTCGTCGAGCAGGATGTTGTCTGGCTTGACGTCGCGGTGCACGATGCCCTTCGAGTGGAGGTAGACGAGCGCCTCGGTCGCCTCGCACGCAATGCGAACGCGCTGCCGCCACGTCAGCGGCCTCGGCGGCTCCACCATCCCCAGCCGCCGGAGCTGCGCCGCTCGGTCGGGATCCGAGATACGCAGCCGCGCCTCGAGCGAACCGCCGCGCATCAGCGGCGAGAGGAGGCAGACGCCGTCGGGCGAGAGGCAGTAGCCGAGCAGCGGCAGCAAATGCGGGTGGCTCACCGCCTTGAGAAGCTTCACCTCGAGCTCCGCCCGAGACAGGCCGCCCGACTGGCCCGACTTTGCCCGCTTGACGACGAGCGGCAAGTGGCGCAGCTGTGGAGGCGCGGCGAGGGAGAGGTGGAGGTCGGCCGACGCCTCGTAGACGTGGCTGAAACCGCCGCTGCCAATCAGCTTGCCCTCTGCAAACCCGTCGGTAGCCGCGGTGAGGTCCGACAGGGCTATCTCGACTGGCCGAGCAACAGCCGCCTCCGCCGCGGCTGGCGCGGCGGCGACAGACAGCTCTCCCAGCTTCGACTCTGCCGCGCTAACCTCCTCGGCCAAAGCAGGCAGCGCGCCCACGTGCGGCCTGGCGGCGGCGATGCCCGCTCGGAGCGCGGAGGGGCTGTCTGCGGTGTCGAGCGACTTGAGCGCGCCCATCGCCGCGCCATGCGCCTTGCGCAACCGCTGGCTGTCCCGCCTCCGCGCCTCCTTGAGCTTGTCGCGAACGCGCCTCGCCTCCGCCAGCACAGCCGGGCTCGCGAGGCTGCTGCACGCCTCCAGCGCGCTCGCCACGCCCTCGTACGAGCCAGCGGCCACGGCCTTCTGCAGCGCCTCGTCCGCCGCAGCGATGGCGGCTGCGTCGGCGGGCGGAGGAGATGGGGCTGGCGGTGGGGTTGGCGGCTGCAAATCGGCGGTGGCGCTGGGGCCAGGCGCCTCGTTGTCTGCCTCGCCGCCGCCGCTCTTCTTCTTCTTCTTCTTCTTGCCCTTCTTGCTCTCCTTGGCGCGCTCCTCCTTCTCCGCCTCCTCCTCCGCCAGCAGCGCCTCGGCATGCCGCGCCGCAGTCGCCTCTGCCGCCGCTCTCACCGCCTCCCTTGCCGCTGCCTCCGCCTCCGCCTCCGCCGCCGCCGCATGCTCCTCGATGACGTGCACGCACTCGGCGCAGCCCTCCTCCTTGGCCAGCTGCAGCGCCGTCTTGCCGTTCTCAGCGCGCGCCGCCGTGTCAGCCGTGTCAGCGCGCCGCCGTGTCTGCGCCGCCGTGTTTGCGCCCGCCCGCAGCAAGCGCCGCACGACGGCGGTGTGGTTGAAGTAGGCGGCGAGCATCAGCGCGGTGCAGCCGTCGCTGTTCTGCAGGTTGAGCTCCGCGCGGTGCTTCAGCAGCAGCTCGACCTCCCGCTCGTTGCCGAAGCTGGCGGCGTGCATCAGCGCGGTGAAGCCGTTGCCGTTCTGCGTGTTGATCTCCGCGCCGCGCCGTATCAGCAAGTCGACCACCCGCTTTTGGCCGCTGCGGGCGGCGGTCATCAGCGCGGTCCAGCCTTTGCTGTCCTGCTGGTTGATCTCCGCGCCGTGCTTCAGCAGCAAGTCGACCACCCGCTCGTGGCCTTCCTGGGCGACGATCATCAGCGCGGTGAAGCCTTCGTTGCTCTGCAGGTTGATCTCCGCGCCGTGCTGCAGCAGCAGCTCGACCACCCGCTCGTGGCCGAAGCTGGCGGCGCTCATCAGCGCGGCGAAGCCTTCGTTGCTCTGCAGGTTGATCTCCGCGCCGTGCTGCAGCAGCAGCTCGGCCAACCGCTCGTGGCCGTTGCCGGCGGCGCCCATCAGCAGCGTGAGGCCGCTAGTCTCGCCTCTCTCGTACGTCGCGTCGGCCCGCCCGCCGCCGTTAAGCCACGCCAGCACCGCCGCCTCCTCGCCTCGCTCAGCCGCTGTCACGACATCATCGAAGACTGCCGCAGCACCGCTCGGTGCCTGCTCGGCCGCAGCCAGCGACAGATTGTCCGGCCGCACTCGCACGCTCTCGCCGCCGCCCTCTAGCGCCACCGCGTACCACCCGCCCTCGAAGCTCCGCGCCTCGCCCCGCTGCCCGTTCAGCTCGGGGCGGGAGGAGAGCCCGCCGAGCACAATGCGCTGGCCAAGGAGCGGCGCGTCCACAGCTGCTGCTGCTGCGCCCAACGAAGCGCCGTCCGCCCCTGCCCGGCCCTCCGCAGCCACGGCTGTCCAAGGCGCCTCCATGGGAGAAGGCTCAGGTTAAACAAACTCTCCCTTGCCGGGCAGAGCGGCAGAACCCGGCGCCGACCGACTCGGATACTCGAGTAAGCGGCAAACCCCGGAAAGTACCTAGCTACCTGGAAAGTGCGCAAAAATAACCGCTGTGGCGTGGCAGACGGTGAACCAGCTTGCGTGCGGGGAGAGCGGCATTGTGCATGGTGCGGAGTGCATTGCCGAGGTCCGTTCTTAACGGAATCGCTTAGGCGGCTCCGGTGGTGAGAGAGAGAGAATTCTTGATACGAAACCACGACGACACACACCAGTCGACTCGCATCGGTTGCCTCCATGAACGGCGGAGCTATTCTCGCGCCCACACCACACCTGGCTCCAACGTGGACACGCCCATAGCTGGGGACACTACTAGGTCACGCATGGCATCACAGAAGTTTTATCTCTGGGCCCCGAAAGGCATCTCTAGCAGTGTCGTTACACATGCCCCTCTCTCTCTCTCTCTCTCTCTCGGTGGTGAGCCGGTGTGTGTGGCTGCCAGTCCGCGCCAGTCCGCGCCCTTGTCGTGCCAGTGTGCTGTGTGAGAGGCTTGTAATTTAAGAATTCTTGCGGATTCTTGTGGATCTTGTAAATCTGATTGATGTCAATGTCGCCTCAGCCCTCACCCCACCTTGCTCAAATGGGGGGGGGGCTGAGGGGGGGGGGGGGGGGGGGCACTGCTGCCGCTGATGGGACGAGCCCTCGCCGGGGCGGACGCAACACGGCGGCAGTCGAAGCTAGCTTCTCGCACCTCTCGCAATCACACGATGGTGGAGCCCACACTCACTAGCACCGCCCGTCCCCGAAGCCCCGCCTCTCCCATCCGAGACCTCCGGACCCGTTCCGACGAGAAAAGGGACGAAGAAAGGGCGGGGGGCGGCGGTGCCCGCCGCAAAATCAATTCTAAAGTAAATTCTAAAGTAAAAACGTCCCGAAGCCCATTATCGGCGACGCACGGTCCCCTGCGCACCGTGTGAGTGTGTGAGTGTGTGTGAGTGAGTACACGCACTCGCACACCGCTCCCCGATGCATGATGCAGCCGTCGGTTGCGACTCCGCCTGATTCGCCCCCCGCCGTGCTGCCGCACACGGTGCTGCTCGCGAGCCGCTGCCGCAAGCAGGCCCGCTGGCTCCGGCTGTGGCGCGGCCGCTGGCTCGTGCTCACAGCCGAGCACATCCTCTCCTTCCCGCTCGACCTCTCGGCCGGAGGCGAGAAGCCGGCTCAGCCGACGGACGCGATCGCGCTGTCACAGCTCGCTCGGGTGCGTGTGCAGCCGCTGAAGGGGGCCCGGCGCCACCACGCCACCCGGATGGGGCTGCTCTCCCGTGGCCGCAGTGAGGTGTGGGTCGAGTTTGCAACCCTGCGCGCGGCGTCAACGTTTGCGACCGCGGCCGTCAACGCCCGCCTCCTCCTGGCCACGGGGCTTCCCGAGTACGAGCCCGCCTCCTCCTCCCGCGGCTCCATGATTGCCTTTGAGCCGGTCAGGCTGGTCGGTTGCGAAGAGCGGTACGTCATCGGCAAGATGCTTGGGCAAGGCAAGTATGGCCAGGTTTACAAGGCCGTCTGCATGCAGAGCGGCGTGCGTATGGCGGTCAAGGTTCTGCCGCTTGCCGACGAGACGACGCGCGCGTCGGCGATGCAGGAGCTCGCCATCATGCGCCGCATCGACCACCCGCACGTCGTCCACCTCGCAAACTATTTCGAAACAGCCAACTCGGCGCAGCTCGTCATGGAGTGGCTGCCTGGAGGTGACCTCTACGCACAGCTCATCGAGCGCTTCTCGCCCGAGCCATTCGGCGTCAACTCGTACTCCGAGTCGCAGATCCGCAGCCTGACCTTCATGGCCCTCTCCGGGCTGCAGGCCCTGCACGAGCTCCGCATCGTCCACCGCGACATCAAGCCCACCGTTGCATATCCGGATATGCAACGGTGGCATAAAGTGAATGATACACCGTCGCACTCCTTCAAAGACATCGTGGACCACAACAGCAAGAAGGTCGAGAGGTACGCGAACCTCACACAGTGGCTGGCTGCCGCCCAGGCTGCCCTGGCGGGCGCCGCAGCGACAGCGGGCTTGGAGGCGACGGACGCTCTTAAAGACGAGGGTATGGCCCTCGTCGCTCAGATGGTGCTCATGTCCGAGTGCGACGCATTCATCGGCTCGTACGCCTCCAACGTGGGCATCCTCGTGCACGACCTCGCTGATGCACGCCCGCCGCGTGGCCGGATCAGCACGCCTCCACGCGATCGACGTCAATGGGCGGGGCTACTGCGGCTGCGGCGCCTCTTTTTGATAAAGCTCGAGCGGCGCGCCACGCGAGAGCCGCGACGGTCGATGCGCAACATGGTCGAGGCCTTCCGAGGCAACAACATCAACGGACAACGCGATCTAGCCCGGCCGCGCGGCCCTCACACTTGTACGGGGCTCTTAAAGCCGTAGCTCTTTCACCACCCTGACCTCGGCCCGTCGATCTCTCTCGGCACCTGTGGCCGACCAGTGCGAGTTATTTCCCCTGTTCTCTATGTCGCTTGTCGGTTTTGTCTTTACATCTCTCGAAGGAGCACGAAAGGGTGCAGGGTTCTATCCCGTCACACGCACACTGTAGATCTACACGAGCCACGGCGTGCACGTCCCGTTGTGCAGGGCCGGGGACTGCTGCGGCTCGTGCGGCGCGCACACGCCGCGGCTGTCCACGGCGCTCGCGTTGATCGCCTGCACGAGGGCGGTCAGCCGGCGCACGAGGTCGGGCTGGGAGGACGCGAGGTTGGTGCTCTCCGTGGGGTCGCTCTCCAGGTCGAAGAGCATCACCTGTGCGCAGACCATGGGAGGGCTCTTCGGTCCGACGGAGGCCGCGGCTGCACCCGCGTCCGAGGCGCGCACGGAGTCGACTGTCCACGGCCCTGCCGCCGTCGCGCTGTTGTTGTGGTCCGCGGGGCACGGCGGGCCTGGTACCATGCCTCCAGAGTAGAGTGTGGGTTCATTCCCGTGGGTGGTGTGGTAGCGGTCGGCGGGGGCACATCCTGTTCATGTGTTGAATTCACAATCATGAGGGCGGGAGGACGGTCTTTATGGGGAGATGCGGGGAGATATGGTGAGATGTTCCGCTTCTAGGATGGCCGGCCTGCGCACCAGATACGGGGAGATACGGGGAGATACGGGGAGATACGGGGAGATACGGGGAGATACGGGGAGATACGGGGAGAGATACGGGGAGATATGGGGAGATATGAGGAGATGTGCTGCTTCTAGGACGGCTGGCCCGTGCACCAGAAGCCGTTGCCGATGCTGCGGTGCCGGTTGTCGTCCGCGCCTAGGGTTCGGGTACCGTGGTGGTAGGGGGATGAGTTCGGTACCATGGTGCTGCGGTGGCGGTTGTCGTCCGCGCCCGGGTCGCCAAGGAGGAGCTTCCACCTCCCCTGCCGCAGGGCGTAGTACGGAGTCGCGTGCTGGTCGCCTAGGGTTCGGGTACCGTGGGGGTAGGGGGATGGGTTCGGTACCGTGGGTGTGGGGGTGGCGAGTCGCGTGCTGGTCGCCGGAGCAGACGAAGCCCGGCGGCCGGTTGCTGTACGGGCTAGCGAGCGGGTCCGCCTGTGGAGATGGTAGTCATACCCATACTTCAAAGAGCCATCCACTCCTTTTGCTACGGGGAGATACGGGGAGATATCGCGCAGCACAGTCTGCCGTGCTCGAGATACGGGGAGATGTGCGGAGATACGGGGAGATACCGGGAGATATCGCGCAGCACAGTCTGCCGTGCTCGAGATACGGGGAGGTGTGCGGAGATACGGGGAGATGTGGGGCCTCGAGCAGCACAGTCTGCCGTGCGCCCGCCCCTCCGCGGGAGAGCATTGGCCACTGCGAGACGCCATCGAGCTCGGAGCCGGCCTGTTCACAGCAGGTGCGGTGTGAAGAGGCGCCGTGGTGTGAGGATTCGCCGCCGAGCGCGGAGCCGGCCGCAGCGAGCTCCCCCGCATCGCCTCCCATGGCGGCGATCAGCGTCGGCAGCACATCGACGGTGTGCACGATCCTAGAAGGTTCCTAGAAGGTTCCTAGAGGGTTCCTAGAAGGTTCCTAGCACATCGACGGTGTGCACGATCCCTGCCGCCGTCGTGCCGCGCTGGCTGCGCGCGATGCCAGCGCCTACCCTCAGCGCGAGAGAGCGGATGGCGCAGGGGGCCTGCCGCCCCACGTGCTCGGCGCGATGGCGGCGCCGGAGACGAAAGCGACGCCCCGCAACCCCCCCTCCCACGCCGTGCACTTTCCGCCTCGCAGCGGCCAGTTCTGCCCCCCGGTCCACCCGCCGCACGCCGGCGTGGCGGCGCCGTTGTCCTACGTGCTGAATACGCCAACCTCAGGGCGTGTATACGGTATTGTGCAGCGTCTTCAGAGCGCCGCGTGAAGACGAGGGAAGCGAATGCAGTGAATACAGCGGAATACGGCCGAGTACAGCTGAATACGTGCCCTCTCGAGTGCTGGTTGCGAGACATGAACACGTATGCTGGTTGGGATACATGCACGTGTTCCGCTTCTAGGGCCGTTGTCCGTCTGGAACCAGAGGAGCGTGTCGTCAAGGATGCCTGGGGGAAGGTTCCGAGAAGGTTCCGAGAAGGTTCCGAGAAGGTTCGAGACGCTTCCTGGAGGATGCCTAGAAGGTTCCGTAGGTTCCTAGAAGGTTCCTAGAAGGTTCCTAGAGGGTTCCTGCGGTGAGGGAGAGGGAGAGGGAGGGAGGGAGGGAGGGAGAAGGAGGGAGGGAGGGGGGGGGGGGGGAGGGAGGGAGGGATTGAGGGAGGGAGGGAGGGAGGGAGGGAGAGGGAGGGAGGGAGAGAGAGAGAGAGAGAGAGAGAGAGAGAGATGTCGGCAAGGATGCCCTTGCGCCGCAGCGCGCGCGTCACGTTGCCAACGCCCTCGTCCAAGCAAGAGAGCATGCCCGCGAAGAGGTTCCGCGCCTATATCCCTTTTCCGCGCGCGAAATCTTTTTTCCAAGCAAGAGAGCATGCCCGCGAAGAGGTTCCGCGCGTTCGTCCCCTCCACCCTGGCAAACTTGTACGGCGCAACGTACTGCGCCGGCACCTAATTAATTAATTAATTAATTAATTAATTAATTAAACTTGTACGGCGCGACGTACTGCGCCGGCACCTGCTCCACGTGCGGGTGAGCTCGCCCGAGATGCAGCCGAGATGCAGCCGAGAGGCAGCCGAGATGCAGCCGAGAGGCAGCCGAGAGGAGCCGAGAGGCAGCCGAGAGGCAGCCGAGAGGCAGCCGAGAGGCAGCCGAGGGGCAGCCGAGAGGCAGCCGAGAGGAGCCGAGAGGAGCCGAGAGGAGCGGAGAGGAGCCGAGAGGAGCCGAGAGGAGCCGAGAGGAGCCGAGAGGAGCCGAGAGGAGCGGAGAGGAGCCGAGAGGAGCCGAGAGGAGCCGAGAGGAGCCGAGAGGAGCCGAGAGGAGCCGAGAGGAGCCGAGAGGAGCCGAGAGGAGCCGAGAGGAGCCGAGAGGCAGCCGAGAGGAGCCGAGAGGAGCCGAGAGGAGCCGAGAGGCAGCCGAGAGGAGCCGAGAGGAGCCGAGAGGAGCCGAGAGGAGCCGAGAGGAGCCGAGAGGAGCCGGGGTGAGCCGAGGTGAGGTGAGGTGAGGTGAGTTCGGCGCCTGGTCGGGCACATGCACTGCTTGGTACGGGAGGTAGAGGAAGAGCGGCGCGGCCGCGTCGTGCTCGCGGATGATCGACACCGCGCGCCGAGTGAAGAGGTGCGTCGAGTACTCGCCGACCGCCTCCCAAGCGTGTCGCGAGCAGCCGGCGCCGCAGTCTGGTCGCGAATCATCGTGCAAGTCAAACCCTCCGCAGTCGCCCTGATGGGTGTAGTAGTCTTCGTCGCCAGAGTAGTAGCCGAGGTACGAGTCGAAGCCGCGGAACGTGGGCGTGTGCTCCCAGCGGTGGTACCCGAGGTGCCACTTCCCGACCGCGTGGCACTTGCTCCGCGCGTCGACTCGCTTGACAAACTGCGGCAGCAGCGTCTCATCCAGCGGGAGCGACCAGTTGTTTTGACTCGTGAGGACTCCCGACTGGAAGCCATAGCGGATGTTGTAGCGGCCGGTCAGCAGGGCGCCCCGCGTCGGGCTGCATGCGCGCTGCACGTAAAAGTGAGCCAGCTTGACGCCGGCTGACGCGAGCTTGTCAATGTTCGGAGTCGCGATCTGGCTTCCGGCGTAGCCAAGGTCCGCGTAGCCGAGGTCGTCTGCCACCACGAGGACCAGGTGCTTCGCCGGCGGAGACGCGGCGGAGAGGGCGGGAGCGGCCGCAGTGATGAGCATATACACACTTTAGCTTGCTGGGTGTTTAGAGAAAGAATTTTACTATACAAGCCCCTCTCACAGCAGACTGGCTCGGACTGGCACTACAAATGGCACAGCAGGCGACGGCCCCTTACGGGTCGTCAAAGAGGCCGGCGTACTCCTCCGGCCGCTCCTCCCCCTCCCAATCCTCCCCGGGCTCTGGCTCCTCCTCCTTCGCCCGCGCCCTCGCCCCCCGCCGGCGGCGATTCCGTGCGGCCGTCGCCCCCGCCCCCTCCCCGCCCCCATCACGGCCGGAGCCGTACCACCCAGCGCGCACGAGGAACGAGGACTGAGCCTCAACCTCGTCCAACCTCACCGCCCTCACGGCGGCGTCGCACGCCTCAGCCCGCGAAGCGCCAGCAGCATGCGCCGCGGCGTACGCCGCGTCGCCTACCGCCTGCCTCGCGAGAGACGCGGCGCGCCACTCGTCCTCCAGCGCCGCCGAGCCCCACACAGGGTCTCCCGCAGACCGGTCCGAGTCGCCATCCGAGCTTAGCTCGCCCTCGCCCTCGCCCTCGCCTCGCGCCTCGCCGCTCCCATCCTGCGGCTGCGCCACGCCCCGCGCCGCGCAGCAGCCCCATCCTCGGCAGAGCCCGCCGCACATGCCATGCGCGACGTATGCCTGGCGCAGGCCAGGCACCTCCCACCGATCGTCAGTGGTGGCGAGATAGGGCGCCGCGCAGCGGCCTGCGAAAGAAAAGACACTTTGCACGCACATAAGGTAGGTAAGGTAAACGTCTCCACACACACAAAGTGGTGGGGCAAGGGGGGGCGACCCTCGCATCTCCACGCCCGGACACGGGCAGGAGCCCCACGGCATTCAAAGTGCAAGCACCGGCCCGGTGCCGTGGGTGAGCACAACCTGCACCCCACTCCTACTCCTATAACACAACCCCCACAGCGTGGTCGTCTACGTGTTCAGAAACACCAAGCAGCGAGGCGAGGGTGAAGGGGTAAGGGGCTGTGTGGGGCTATCTGTGGCTACATCTAGCCTGGGGGGTAGCAGGAGGGGGGGGCAGAGGGTAAGATATGGGTGAAGCCAGCTAGTCGGACGCCTTGTCGTCGGAATACTCCTCGGAGCCGGTGTCCTCGTCGTCGTCCTCGGTCTGCATCGCCTCGCCAGCCGTGAACCTGAACACGGCGTCGGCCGGCGCCGAGGCGCCGGCGGCCGTCATCAGGTGCATGACATATTTGTCGCGGCATGCCGCATCAATCTCTCCGTGCTCGGCCAGCTCGTTCGCGAGCCAGTCCGAGGCGACGGTCGTCGCCACGGTGCCCTGGGGGACCGTGGCGCACACCACGCTAGGGCCGCGCCGATATCCGTCGTCCCTCTCTGGGGGCAGCGAATATGTGACCCGAGTCTTGGACCCGGCCTGGCTGCGCGCCCGCGCAGCTGCAGACCGTAGCCCGTCCATCACGTACTCGATGTTCGCGCGTAGCTGCGCGCGCGGGCGCTCCACGCGCTCGGCCTCGCTCGCGGCCGCGCGCTCGCCAGCCTCCTTCGCCCGGCGCTCCTTCTGCCGGTTCTTCTTGGCCTTGCGAGACGCGGCCTTTGCCGCAAGCTGCTCATCTGTGAGCTCCTTCTTCTTCGGCGCGGTGCGCTCGATGTACGAGCGCTCCGCCGCCTTCACCGACTCGCGGTCGCCCGCGGCCTTTTCGTGCTTCAGGTCGACCTCGATGGTCGCGTAGCCAGGCCTTATCACCCTGACACAGGACGCACCGAACAACCTTGCGACACCCACCGCGTCCTCCAGTTGCGCCTTATCGTAGCTATTCCAGGGTCCGCTGCGCATCCCCGGCGGCACGACGGTGGCCGGCGCTTGCGCGCCAGCCCCGTCCGCCACCGGGTCCGCGGCCGCGGTCCCTGTCATAGCTACGCGCGCCATGGAGAACGGCGGGCACCACAAAAAAGAAGAATTTTACAAGCCTCTCGAGGTTCTCGAGGTGGATATCCAGAAGAGGCGGACGCCCAAGGGTGGGCGACGGCTAGCGCACCACACCCCTCTCCTTAAAATCCCTGTGTGGTGGCGGCGTGCCGTTCTCCCATCCCTCCCTTGGGTTGTCTGTTTTCTTTCTTTCTTTCTTTAGGTGGATATCCTTTGGCCGCGTTGGGTTTACAACAAACCTCCCTCGCACAACACTGGGCACGGGACTGGCTCGCACTGGCACTCGTGTTCGATGCCCGGGACAAGGATTAGTACCCCACCGTCCACCGCCGCCGCGAGGCGCGCGGCGCGAGCTTCTCGACGGCCGCGTCGGCCTGCCCACCACCCGCGGCGCTCGGTGCGAGCCCGGGCGGCGGCTGCGGCGGCGGCGGTGGCGCGATTGCGAGCCTAGAGGGGGAGACCGCGCACCGGCACTCGGCGTCTCGCGTGATGACAGAGCGTATGAGCTCACTAGCTAGCTAGAGCTCACACTAGAGGCCGTCATCGCATTCGCCTTCCTGGTACCCAGCGCTGACTTCTGACTGTCGTTGCTGTCTCTCCCTTCTCGACTGTCTGTGCTGTGCGTTGGGTCCGGGGTTGTGTTTTTATGTGATGACAGAGGCCCCGAGTAGAGCCGTAGAAGCGCTCGCAGCGTGAGTGCTGGTGAGCCCGGTGCTGGCAACTAGGCGTGCGCGAGAGGGGGGAGAGGTGTGGGGAGAGGTGGGGAGACATGGACACGTTGCAGCCGCATCTAGGCGCGCGAGCTCGAGGACGCGCGACAGGACGGCGCACGTCTGCGTGTCGCCCATCTCCGCGTGGTGCTCCAGCAGCCGCGCCTCCCCACGAGGGGCGAGAGGAGGGCGGACAGCCCGCCGCCCGCGCCGCCCGCGCCCGTCCCAGGTGCGAGCAGCCCGCTCAGCGGCAGCGGCGTGGCCGCGCAGCCGCCCGCGAGTGCCGGCGCCGCCGGGAGGTTGGCTACGAGCAGCGAGAGCGCCTCCCACGCCGCCGACAGCCGCCGCGACTCAATCCTCGTCGGTGGCACAGCCTCCCGCCACTGCCCTCACCGCCCCGCCGCCGCGCCCGTCCTCCGCCGCCACGAGAGGCCGGGCGGTGGCACCGACGGCGGGCGACGGCATGAGCGGCCGCAAGCCGGCCGCCGCCACCCGCGACGTCCCGCTGGCCGCCGCCTCTGGCCCCGCGGGTGCAGCCTCGCCGCCGGCCGCCTCCGCTTCGGAGGTGGACCAGAGAGTCGAGCCCCGCGCCGCCCCTCTCCGCGCCCCGCTGGCCCCGCGCAGGCAGGGCCGCGGCAAGGACGAGCCCGCCTCTGCCGCCGGTGCCGCCGGTGCCGCCGCGAGGCGCAGCGCCGGCACGCCGAGCGGGTGAGAAGCCCACCTTCCCTCCTCGCCGGCCTTCTCGCCGCACACGCCTTGCCCCCTCCCCAGCCCGCCCCCCTCCCTCCCGCCGTTTGCCCATTACCGCGCCCTCCCCCCCACAGCGCGACTTTGGCCAGCGGCGCTCGAGGCGAGGCCGCCACGGCGAGACCTGCTCGCCCGGCCGTCGGCCAACGTGCGGCCGCCCTGCGGGCGGGTGTCGTGGTGGGCTTACCCCCGAGATCACCCGAGACTGCCTGAAAGTAGGCGCCGCCGGCCCGCGGGCGGGTGCAGACGCGCCTCGCTTGCCGGCAGCCGCCCAGTTTAGATGCGGAGGGCTGCATCCCTGTACTCGAGCAAGCAGTTCGGAAGAGTCGCACCCTCGGCTGTCCTCGATCGCAATCCAGTCGTGCACCAACGCCGCCGCTCAACACGCAGCGCTCCAACCGCCCCGCTTGCCCACCCCAGCCTCCGCGCGTTCCCCTCGCCCCGCCCTGACTGTCGCATACCCCACGCAGGCCTTCAGGATCTCCCTCCCGAGCAGCGCGCCGCCCGCCGCCCCTCCGCCCGCCCCGCTCAAGCTTCGCATGACGGCGGCGGCCAACGGCGCGCTCGGCGCGCTGCCCAAGAAGCCCGACGCGGACACGGCCAGCGGCGGCGGCGGCGGCGGCGGCGGCGGCGGCCGGGCTCCCACCGCCGGATCGCTGCCGGCGCGGCGCGCCTCGCCGGCTCCGCCCTCGCCTCCAGCGGCACCACTCCTCGTGCCGTTGGCGGAGGATGCGGAGGAGGAGGGCGTTTTCTCGCAGACTGCTCGGAGCTCCCCCGCCAAGGTCGACGCCAAGGGACCGCCAGCGAGGCTGCGGTCCGGACGCGTCACTGGACATGTCCGGGACGCGGCCGCTGGGCATGTCCGCGCCGCGACCCCCGAGGAGGGGGGTGCGGCGGCAAGGACGAGGCCGCCACCGCGGGCGCCGGTCCCGAGCGCCGCGCCCACCGCCGCCGCCGCTGCCGCCGCTGTCGCAGCTGTCGCCGCTGCCGCCTCCGCCGCCTCCGCCGCCTCCGCCGCCACCGCCACCGCCGCCACTCAAAACGGGTCGGCGGCGCGGGGTGGGAGGCCGCCTGCGAGGAAGACGGCGCCGGCGCGGCCGTCTCGGTGCCCCTCGGGCTGCGGCCGGGCGACAAGCGGCAGCGGCACAACGGCCTCGCCCAGCTGAGCACGACGGGGTCTCGTCTCCAGGTGTGGACGGGCTGATGTGTGTGGGCATGTGGGATTGCGATGGAGCGCGGAAGGGCGTGTTGGTGGGCGACTCGCTCCGCCTCCTCGCCAGTCGCCACGGGTGACGAACCGGCTTGATGGATGAGAGTGGGAGACCGGCCCTATAGTGCCTGTGTTTGGATGTGCGCCCGCGCGCTGTCGCTCTTCATTAACTTTGGTGCACGAGAAAATGCGATGTGGCAATCGTGGAGCTGGCCTGCGGCTTTATTTATGACACAGCTGTCACGTTTTCATCGAAATAATATCGACTCTTCCGCCTCCGTCGCCTCCGCCTCGAGCTCGTAGTAGAAGTACGAGTACGTCGAGTTGTGCCCAGGTACGCCGTCGGTCATCGATTCAACAAACGACTCTTCCTTCGCAAGCACGTTCTCAAGAAACCACGAGCCGGCCGCCTCGGCGCCCCACACCTCGTTCTCAACCACAAAGGCGGCCGAATGCGCCAGCCCGCTCATGATGCTCCGTGCGACTGTGAAGTGAAAGCCGCGCCCTCCTTGGAAGCGGCCTCGGCGGTGGTGGCGATGGTGGTGGTGGCGCCTCGGGAGCCACTCGGCGGTGGAGGTGGCGAAGGAAGTGTGGCCGTGCAGTTTCTCTGAAGCTGGTTGCGCGCCGGCCGCACAAGCGAAGGCGACAAGCGTGAGGCAGAGCCCTCCCAGGATGAGGGCAGAACTTCTGCACAGCCGGGCGCGCGTGCCAGACCTCGCAACCGGCCCGGAGGGCGTCGCGATCATGCGGGCCGGAACGGCTTCCTTAGAAGAATTCTTAAGATACAAGCCTCAGAAGAATTCTTAAAGCCCAAGCCTCTCTCACAGCACACTAGCACGACAAGGGCGCGGACTGGCGCGGACTGGCACACACACCGGCTCACCACCGGAGCCGCCTAAGCGACTCCGTTAAGAACGGCAATGCACTCCGCACCATGCACAATGCCGCTCTCCCCGCACGCTAGCTCGTTCACCGTCTGCCACGCCACGCACGGCGGTGTGGAGGACGACAGACAAGCGCTTAGAAGAAATCAATTCTCCCGGCCGGGGTGGGCGCGCGCGGGGGGCGGCGGGTGTGCGGGATGTCTGTGGGCCCGAGAGCGATATGCCATGTCCGCCTTGCGTTTGTTTCATAACATCGAAGGCTATGTGGACAGAGGCGGAAGCCAAAGCGACTCCTGCGAGGGCGGCGAGGCACTGAAGCTCCGTGCACTTGACCGCCCTCGCCGCAGGCAAGCTCATCCACAATCTGCTCTGCGATGGCCGTGTGAAGAACGACTGAGATACGCTGCTTCTGCATAGCCAATTCTTGGTGGTCCAAGTCACCTACCTCATCGATCGAGCGAGGTACTGCGCCCGCGTCAGCTTGTTCTGTAGCACGTTCGCCGCCTTCCAGGGATCTCGCGGACCCCCTTCCCGAACCCACCGAACGACTCGAACAGCAGCAGCTGCACGTCGACGTCCTTGTTCTGACGCGCTCGACTATACCCTCCCGTAATTATCTTTGTCGGTTACAACTCCTGGTTTAGTCCGTTTGCACGTGAGCGATGCAACGCGCTCTCGTCGCCTTGGCGCTCGCACTGCCGGCCACGTCCGGCCAGAATTACAGCAGTACAGAGGCGGTCGCATACAGCAGCAACGTGGTCGCCCTGCGTGCCGCCCTCCTCGCAAACTACTCCAAGGATGTGGTGCCAACGTCGGACCGATCCAACCGCTGCGCCAACCTCGGTGACCATGCGCTAACCGACTGCACGACTTTCTCGTATGCGGGCACCGACGTGCGCGTCGAGTTTCAGTTCTACAAGCTTGAGAGCGTCGACCTCGCCAGTGGCCACATGCTCCTCAAGACCTGGCTGCGGATGAAATCGTTGGGTTTACGTGTTCGGCGACTCCTCGTCGCGTGGGCTGTTTCTGTCGCTGTACCAGCAGCTCACGCGAGGTGACGGCTTCGATCCATCGGATTGGCTGGGCGTCGAGCGAAACATTGCGCTGCTTGGCTTCGCCGACGCCATCGTCTCCAATGCAGGCGATCTGGTCAACGTCCGCAGCGCCCGGAAGCACAAGGTTGCAGTAAGCTCCGACCTGTCCGGGCAGCTGAACGCAATTGGTCAATGGAGCGGCGCGCTGCGTCGATGCGTATCACGTGGCGCATGCTCACCACCGCTCGAAGGCTGCAGAGCGATCCGTTCGTCGAGCTGCGCGCCAGCGTCGACAGTGCAGCTCCGGACTGCCACGTCGTCCAGCTCGGCGCGTGGGATGACATGCGGCACACCGCGCTCGAGGTGTACGCGAGGGACCTCTTCGATGGGCTCGCAGGGTGGCGACGAGCTGCGA